GCTGCAAATGTTTGGTTTTCACATACTGAAAAGAATTATAATTGCATTACAAAAGAAAACGTTTTTACTCAAAGCTTACATAGTTTAATCTTCTACAGATCGTATGTGTGCAAAAATCTCTTGTCTAATTAGTGGTCCTGAAATTACTTAATAGTGCCACTTAGAGGAGTAGGGACTAATAAAGGTTGAAGCTAAAAGAAAAGGCCATCCCTAAGTAAAAGTAAAAAAAGCTTACTGAATTAACTTAGTAGCTTCTCTTAAAAAAAATCTATCCTATAAATAAATTATGTGGCAACATATAAAAGTCAAAGTGGTTTACACACCTACCATTCAAAAACTCAGAGATAATGTCACATCTTTGATATACACTGTAGAAAACTTGTATCAAAAGAGAAAGAAGACAGACAGTAAAAATCACTCAGCCAGTGAGTCTTCTTAGGCTCGAGTAGTTGGCATTTTCACTGTATTCTGTTGTAAAACAGAACACGTGTTGAATATTAGACAGATAAGGGGTGGTTTAACTACAATGCAACAGCTAGCACTGCAAAACCATGGAAATACATTGTCTATATTAGCTTTCTACCAAATACTGTAAAACACATCTCGGAGAAAATTATTCACGCGCTCTACCTCTTCGGAGCACCGTTTGGTGCTTATAAGGATGCACACATATGACTTCACATTTGCTCCTCATTAGATCTGAGAACTTCATGCTGTTTTTTCCCTCTTCGTTGCTGTTATGAACCACATTCCCGGCCATGCACTTGCTGCCCACTGTATTTCCCAATGGAGCTCTATCCCTCCCTCTGCTTCTCTGCTTTTGGCAAAGACCACTGCCTTCTACGGCAGCTGCAGGGTTTACTTCTGATCTTGCATCTCTCTCTCTTTTTTTTTTTTTTTAATATATATAAACCTTCCACCTCTTGGCACTTTCCTTCTACCCTCAGTTATATTCTGCGGCTGTGCAACTTGCAATATTGTCTCAAGCTCTTTTAGCTAAATCTCTCATGAAAGTCAACCTTCTACTGGGCAAAAGAGCTGGTCTTGCTCTCAAATTTCTTCTTTGCTGCATCTCCACAGACAGTTACTGATGTGCTAGCCCTGCCTTTGTGCTCTCTGTATCATTCATACAAGACCATGGCCTAATTTCTACTGCGGAGAGCCTTCTTAGCCATTACTATTGCAGCACGCACTTTCAAAGTGCTAACCTTCCAGAATTTAACAAATAAAAAATACTCCTGTCAATTCTTCTCTCTACCAGCTCCCCCAAGGAAACATGTTATCTCTTTGCTCAGCTTCCACTGATTTATTGGGTTCTGTTAATTATGCATTCTTAAGACTTGCAATCACTTAAGTTCCAGACTGATTGCATTTCTACCTTTCATAATATTTGTACGGGAGAACTTTCTCCCCAGCAACTTCTTATCCTGATTTTCTTTCTTTCTGCTGCTGCTTTTATCTTTCATTCTCATGCTCTCTGTCCTTGCATACTTAATCATTAACTATATACACACTGAAGTACTTTGGAGTATAGTCTGTTTGAAATAGTTTACTCAAAAGAAAAGGCTATTGCATTTTAAAACACTTTCTGTTAAGAGAGCATATTCTGGATTTGTTTTAAAAAGAGAGTCCAACATTTATCACACCAGTAGGAGGAATAATTTTAGTCTGTATTTTCTAACCTCTTGAACTGTAAATCACATTCCTAATTACATCAGGTACTCTGATTATCTAGTGGTATGAGAAGCACTTAACTGAAACAATTATATTTGCTCTACAGTTTTAATTAAGCAACCCACTCAGCCAAAAACTAATAGATTTGTTCCTGTTGCTTGCAATCAGTTTTTTGAATCACTGGCCATGAAAACAGTTAACTTTTACTAACCCAACACTGGCAGTCAAGTATGAAGCTAGTTTATCTTTTCATGAGTGTTTCTTAACCCAGAACAGGTCTCATAAATCTCTGTAACCTTTTCAAAAGTACCTCAGAGTAAAAGTACAAAGAGATACAAAGTTTATTTCAAATGTTTTCCCATCAATATTATAAATTAATATGTATATCAAAAAATACTAGAACAGAAGGCACATCAGCATGTGGCAGTTGCTTCTAGAAGCCAAAAAGTGTGAAGATAGAAAGATGATCACCATTTTCTGGTATTAATTTCTTCAAGAAGAAGGCAACTAGTAAACTTGAGATTGTTTTTTCTCTATTTAAGACAAAGCCCTTAAATATAGAGATTCTTGACCTTTGCACAATAGCAGAAAATGCAGCAAGTTTAATCACTTTTCATCAGGAGTTTTTTTTAATATTACTCTTCTAATCTCAAGTCTCATTAAGTTGATTTCGTGACTTGAGAAGCATGAAATCAAGGAAAAAAATGACATCTTATAATTCCCTGATTTTTGATGCTAAAAGCTTACATTTCCAAAAACACAATTAAATAGCTGTAACATAAATCCTTCTGTGGTAAGAAGCTGAACATGCCAAAATAATTTCCTTCTTACCTCAGCCTTGCGAATACTCTCTCTGGCTTCATCTATTTTCTGCTCCAGTTCTGCTCGGGTTTGCTCAGACATCACAGGCCCGTGGCATTCTAGCTCTTCAAGTGTCTGTCAGAAATAAGAAAATACACCACAGATGTAGTAAATGCTAGCAAGCCACTTACATGATAAATATTTATGACAAGTCAAGGAAATTATTGTTTGATTAGCTGCTGGGTTGACCAACAATAGTCTATTCCAGGAAAAAAGATGATGACCAAGGCAAAACACCATTTAAAAGCACAGTATTTCACATGGAAATTCCACTTAAGGGAATGGTTCAATGTCTTCACAAAAACATGATATTGTGGTATGAATCAACTAATCTATATGTTGATAATTACATATTTAAAATGCGTATGTTGCTCCACATTTATGTCAGGATGAAAAAGAGCATCTTGAACATGGAGAGAGAAGTTGCTAATGGTAGCCGTGCTGTAGGGGAAGCCAAGGCAAGTTTCCTGCATTTGCAGGAACGTTGTGCCCAGAGGAGAATTTGCTGAACCACAGAAGTCACGCTGGAGTTTCTTAGGTTCACGTACATGTATGTTGACTGTACAGATCCAAATGAAAAATAACAAAAGCATGTGACTGCACAAACCGTCACCAGTTATCTGCAAATTTGTGCCTGGTTCAGTGACTGTTTATGCATTCTGTGTTAAATAGTCTTTGGAGAAAGAGCAGAAGGAGCATCAGGTGCTGAGACCAGAACCCAGGATGCTCCCTCCTTCCTTGGAGGAGAGTTTTTCCTACCATACCAGACATTTTCTTCTACAGGTAATGTATACATGATATAGTGGAGATAAAAGAATCCCTTTAGTTTGAACAGAAGGATGCTGTGTAGAATAGAAGTAGGTCTGTAAGTTATTTGCAGTGAAGTAGAAGCTGTAACTTCAGATTATACGGGAATAACAAAACGTATTGACTAACCAAAAAGTTTGAGGAGCCGCTAACCTGGCAGTTTGAGTGTACCATATCAAGAAAGGCTAAGATGAAATGGCAGGTTGCCCGGTCAGATAACAGGACAAAAATAATTCCTTAGTACTTGCAGCAGCTCCTCTTTCATGCAGTGGGGAGCTGCAACAAATAAAGTCTGTAAACAAATGTTTTCCTAACCTACCCGCTGACTGTGGACGATGTTTTTGTGCTCACGGGCTACCCGGGTAGCCCATTTCCGAGCCTCCTTGTTGAGGCTGTGCTCTTCAGTCGTTCCAGTTTCCGATTCCAGTTGTCGACTCTGGAACAGAAAACAAGAGAGCAAGTCATGACATAGACCCAGGGCTACCTCTCTAGATATGGTGATACTTAGAGGATAACTTTCTATTACATTTATCAGCCTGGGATCACGTTTCATACAAAACAAGAAAGATTCAACAAAACCAACTCTCTTCCTTATGAACTTTGTGATGGGACCATGCTGTGGAAAGCCAACTACGAAAGCAAATCAAAGTTCACAAGAATTCACAACTCAACTGTCTCAGGAAAATCAGCGTGACACGGAATACCAAACACAGTTCTACTGCAATGAAAGACATTCACGATGAATAAAACTGAAATACTGTTTCACTCATACACTATATCAAAGAGATATAACTAGCCAAGGAAGTCACCTGATTTCTAAAGTAAACATGCATTACGGGAAGCAAAGAGGAAAGGTTAAGGGTGATCCAATGGGCCATTTAGGCTCATTCTTTGTAATTTGTGATCAAATCATAATGTCATCAAATATTTTAGAACAGCACAGCAATTTCTGTTCAAGATAAATTTTGTCTGCAGAACAGCAACTCAAATGTCAAATCACATTTTTGATATTGTTTCATCTTATGCCTGCTTTTATTGTGTCGATAACAACAACAAAAAAATGTCTCCCCCTCAAGAAATGCCAACTACAGCAAGATGAAGGAGTTCTCTACTGTCTAAAGACTGAACAGAACCCATTTGAAACTCTGAAGACAGACTTCCCAATATTTAATCACTGAAATCATTCCCAAACTTTCTATCATTTCCATTAGTGCAATACCCAGTGCACTTACATATATATCTCAGTGTTGAGGATGTAAATCAGTCTCCATGTAGGTTCCCTGATATTCCTTCTATACCTGTGGGTATTCTGTATGCATTTACTGCACCTATAGTGCATACGGATAGCTATTAATAACGATTCTGGGGAGAGTCCACAAAGGGCCATAAAGACTGGAGTATCTCTCCTATGAGGAGAGGCTGAGAGAGCTGGGGCTGTTCAGCCTGGAGAAGAGAAGGCTCCGGGGGATCTCATCGATGTGCACAAATACCTGCAGGGAGGGTGCCAAGAGGACAGAGCCAGTTTCTTCCTAGTGGTGCCCAGTGCAGGACCAGAGACAACAGGCACAGACGGAAACACAGGAGGTTCCCTCAAAACACTTTTTCACTGTGAGGGTGACCGAGCACTGGCACAGGTTGCCCAGGGAGGTTGTGGAATCTCCATCCTTGGAGATATTCATAAGCAATCTGGGCATGACCCTGGGCAACTGGCTCTAGACCCGATGACATCCAGAGGTCCCTTTCAACCTCTGTTCGTCTGTGACTCTATGATTATTTTTTTTTTCTGAGCCAGTCTCATGCTCTTCCCATTAGTAAAATTAGCTGTGAGAAGACATTCTATTCACCCCCCCTTCCCAGGCTGTGCTCCTGGCACAACAGAACAGATTCTTACAACATACATTTCAGTGGTTTCTCCACTTTAAGTTAATCAATACTCCGAAGGGGATCCTCAAGAACAACTCCTTTTCCTGGAGGACTTGCTGACTCACGCACACCTCCCTACCGAGAGAGTCACTGCAGTCCAGAGCCACCCTGCATTCCTTTTTATCACAAGTCCTCTTTGGGCTGATACAATCTTGCACAACCTTTGAGATCAACCAAAAAAAATCCCCTTCTAAATCATCACTCAAGAAGAGAGAGTATGCTTAGTGCTGCTCAAAACAAACAGAGGTTGCGTATGCACGTGTGAAAGAAATGACCGTTTCATGAATTTCTCGCTCTCACTCTCTATGGTTCAAAAGACAGGATTTTTCTTCATCAGGTGTAGTCTGAAACTAGAGAAGATCCCACAAGTATGGAAAAAGTTGTTTAGGAAGGAGAAATTCAAGGTTAGCCAGCAGGAAAAGGGTAAGAGAGTAGAAAGACAAGGAATTCTTTTCAGGCGAGGTGAGAAGCCTCCAGCTGATGCAGAAGAAGAGGTGGTAGCAGGTATTTTAGCAGGCAAAGCGGTACGATTTGTGTCAAGGAAGGAAGACAATTTTAATACCAGCATTTGGTATAGACTGGAGTAAAATCAAGAGATATCGGGAAACAAACCAAAGTGATATTGAAAGCAAGATTTTTATGCCTTTAGATTACACTGCCCTCACGGGAGAGGCAGTAATACTAACTTATGCTAACATCCTATCAGAGGATTTAATTGAAAATGAGGCAAAAATTGGTTCAGCTTGTTATTTTGTTCAGCTAAGCTCCTTTTCATCAAAATTGAATCTGGCCTTTATTCTTATTCCTCCTCTTATTACAAGAGAGCTGGGGGTAGCAGATTCAAGGGGTTGTGAAAGAGATGATTACCACGGTAGAGGCAAGCAAGGGAAAGGCAGACAACCCCTACACACACACAAACGCCCGCACTCCCACCCTAGGGCTCTGAAATGTATCTAATGCTTCAGGCAACTGCTGGGCCACTTTCTGCCTCTATTTCAAGAAGCTGTAACTCAGCCAAGAAGCTCGCAGTGCTTCAACTTGTACCCTCAGAATGCCTTAAGGCATACGTTAATAGACATCAAAAGAGGAGCAGAGGGGAGGTACCATCCCTGTGTTGCTCACAGTGACCAAATAAAAAACCTCAAGAGGCTTTTATAATCCAGTATAAGATGTCAAGATATTTTAGCTTAAAGCCAGAAACAAACATTTCCATGAAGTTCACCCGCTGGAGTGGGACAGTGCCACAAAGCCTATGTTAATCTTATTTTCAAAGCAAAAGGAATTGTCAGATGAGACGTAGAGCAGCCCAGCAGAGGAGGAGGTAAGGTATAAGCACATGGTGAGCTCTGGCATGAACGGGTCGGAAGGTAAAGCCGCCTACCAAGAAAGAACAGAGATGTGCACCCCTCTGCACCCATTCCCTCAGTTTAAATATTAAGTTGGGGTTTGCCTGTTTTTATTGAGGTGGCCTTACACAATCATGTTTCTTCACTACCGTTTGACCTCTTTAATTACCTACTTTAAGCTACTCCACTAGGTCATTGTAAAACGTAGAGGACAAACACATGGGTTTATTTAGGTACATCCAATCCTTCAGATAACATTTAACCTCAGGTTTTTTCCCAGCTTATTGGAGTAAGCATTTTTGTACGGTTTCTTCCACAGCTTAACAGCTGGAAATCTGAGCAGAATCGCTTGATATTGCCTCTCCCCTATAAAACACCTCATAAGAAATTTTCAGTGTTCCCATTGGTCTTGCTCCCACTCAGCATCTCATTTTCATTAAGAAAGAACACAGACTTCTTTTCAGCTGCTTGATAACCTTCTGCATTATCCCAAGTGTGTTTTTGGTTTTTAATCTATTTATCAAAAGCACTTGACCAGAAAAATGAATGCAAACTTTGTGGCTACTCCTAAGGGCATACTAAAAAAGAAATGAATTGTTATTGGATCAGAGTGCTTATATTAGTTATTCATAAAGCAGTATTGTATCCAAGCAGACCTCACCCTTGCTTAAAGGTCTAAAAATAAACAACATAAAAATGGGGTAATAAAAAGAGTTGGGGAGAAACCTGGAGCTGTAGTCTGCGTGGACATCAAAAACACAGGCAAAAGCAGGAGATGAGATCTAGAGGCAAAATTTAGTCTCCTGAGGAAGAAGCAGAAAACAGGACGAGACCAGAGAGAGCGGTGGAAATGCACAGTCTGAACAGTTGGCCAAGAAGACAGTACACGGAGAAAGGTTTCAAACCCACCAGGACCTGGAATGCTTCCTGACTAAACCGAGCTGGTATGGCAGGGAGGGACTTCACCTGACCTGGAAAAGACCAAGCTGCTGGCACTTAGGAAGGCTGTGAAGGGACTTATAAGCAGAGGAGCAGTAGCGAGCTGATGGGCATGGAAGAGCACATGCTTCAAGAGGACATCAAGGATGACCTGAGAAATCTGTATCCTGAGGTAAAGACAGGCTAGAGGGGTACATCAAATAAGAAATGAAAAACCAACTGCCATTTAAATAGGTATGCAAGAAGGAGCTAAAACAGATTTACCTGCTATAGACTAAAAATCAAAGTTGTAGGGAAGAAGGTGAGGGAACTGAAGTGTCTGGTCCTAACCTGATTTACTAAATTAAGCACTTGCTTAAGTGTTTTCAGGACTGGGAACTTGGTGGTGGCAAGACGTCCAGTGACTCAATTTAACCTCTTGCAAAAAAGAGGGAAACCAAAACCACTTATCATGGCCAAGGAATGAAGGAAGAGCCCAAAAACCTGAGCTAAACATAGATGGACATTCTGCTATTCTCTCAGGGTTTGGTTTACAGTGAAAGCAGTGTTTAGTGCTAAAAATTCAATCAGTAAACCAACAGAAAGTACTAGATGACTCCAACCAGCTAAAAAGCTTAGAGGCTAGCAATGCTGTTTCTTAAATTAACAAATGCATTTAGCCTGTAGACACATGTCGCTTCTCTGTTTTTGTCTGAAATGTTGCTGCAGGTGCAGGAGTTGCCTTATGACAGGGACAAGCGCACAGCTTGCATTCTCTTATTTATGTAGTTATATCCAGATGCAGATGGCACATGTACAGTTTTAAGAGCGAAAAAGAAGTTGGCTCTTGAGCCTAAAAGCTCCTTATTTTTGTAGCTGAAGACTAAAACAGTTCACTTCAACCAAGGAAAGAAGTAGTAAACATTTATTGCATGCAAATCACCAACATAAAACACACCTAAAAATCATGGCCGTTTCTTTAACAGAGGTGAAAATAAGAGGTTACCAGGCCAATGTTGAAAAGTAAGCTCAACCTTAGGATCAAGACTTCTAGGGAGGAGGAAGGAATATGCATGACATTTTTCACGCAACTCAAAGCTAAACACAGCAGTTGTAAGAAAATCGTGAGTCAAGTTTGGTGCTCATTTTAGTCTATTATTGCAGAACTAATTTAATTTTAGTTTAGCCAAGAGTGAGCTAGGACTGACTTGCATTTCAGTAAATTTTCAACGTTACAAACGAGACACGC